AATCCAGCGATAACGTATGTGTGACACCAGCGACTTGTTGCCAATAATCAAGCAAAGAACGGTTGCCTCGCTTACAGAAGCTTCACGGTTCGATCCCGAGAAAGGCGGCCACATCATGTCAGGGGTGCTTTTGGGAGTTGTGCTTTCTACCCCGGAGAAGGTTGCTGAGGGATTACGTGAGATGACAGTCATAATGGGCTGAGTCAGTGCTCTACGAGGGGTGTTGCGGAATTTCTTTAGCGAGCTTCAAGAGCTGGAGCTGTGCAGCGCAGCCGGCTCGAATCCTCGTAAATGCTCCCCAGACAAAGTTAATCTGTAAAGCGGAACTCCCCTTCCCCCCCCCGAGACAAACTTCACAACACATCTCCGAGGATGGTCCCTGCTACATTAGAGGCGAAGAAGTCTGCAGTTGCAGTGGCGTGCCACTCTCTTCGCCCGAAGGTGCACAGGAACTCGACTTTAGGGATAGTGAAACCCGGGTGTCGCCTCTATACTCCACAGGCGCCATCCTCGATATGCAGGGCGAGAGTGAGGTCCGGATTCGAAACACACCCTCAGCCGTGAGTGAGAGGAGGCAGACAATTTGTTTGGCTACGGTTAGGCGACATAAACTGAAAATACCAACATGGAAGAGAATGGAGTCTATGTAGCGCGTCTGAAGGTACCCTTGAGAGGGACTGACTCTCCTGATACGTCCTTACCAAACAAGGTTCCCACTGAGTTTTTGCATCGCTTACCATTTTACGAGAGTTTTATTATCCTCTGTTGCAGGCAAATGTAACGCAATAGCTAAAAGACCACTCAGTTCTGCAATCTGAGCCGTATGGCAACGCGTGCGGGGTATGGAGACAGCTTTCAGGATACACTACCCTCCAGTCCCGTTCCTCCGCACGCTTGATAAAAGAAAGTAGCAAGGTACTGCAGCAGCGAACCCATTCACCTCACCTCACGCATGGCAAAGCCAGGATCCATGGAGGTGAAGGTATAGCTCGTCTTCGAGCAAAAGCGATCGGGGCATTTCGATCCGTACTGTATGAAATAATATCAGGGTCTTACGCAGGACAAATACTGCATGTGGCTTTGGCCATATTTTGCCCATTTGAAAGTTTCCATTTGTCATTTTCGGTAAAAGAACAGCAGCTGTAGAGGCGCTGAATTTCGAATCGCTACAGAAAGAAATCGCGGAGACTTTCCGACACCCAACACTGAGAAATGAAATGACATTTTACGGTGTACAGGTGAAAAAATGGCAGCACAGTAGTCAATAATTACCTTTGTTAATGGCATCTACTTCACCACTGTATACCAATCGTATAGGGCGCCCAACCGTAGCGGCAAGGGTGGATTTGACAACCATTGCGAACTCTTCACGGCACGTTACAGGTTCGTTGACATTCGGCTGGCCGTGCCCCCAAGATAAACTTTAAGGGATTGATTTCCCTGGCAAGTTTTTACTGGATACGAAGCTGCCAATGAGTTGTTGAACCGCTTAACATTATTGTGGACAAATGCAGCGCATTGGCTATGAGGCCACATATCCGTGGGATCCGAGCCCCCCAAAACCAACCGAATTCTTTTTCCTCTTAACCGGTGCAATATAAGGCTGCGTTTATACTTTTGCAGCGTAGCGTAGCGCTTCCAGCGTACGCCAGCGGCAGTGCCGGGGAGAGGATGCATATCGATCTAGCGTTCCCAGCGTCACCAGCGCACGCTGACGTACGCTAGCGTGCGCTAGCGTTACGCTAGTGACGCTGGGAACGCTAGATCGATATGCATCCTCTCCCCGGCACTGCCGCTGGCGTACGCTGGAAGCGAAGCGCTACGCTACGCTACGCTGCCGCAAAGTATAAACGCAGCCTAATAATCCTGCTTAGGAGAATATAAAAACCAATCCAAATAGGTTGGACACCTGAATTACTCGCACAGCGCAAATTACGCGAGCCGTATACATACGCCGCATTTGTATTCAAACCTTTTCATGGAAGAATTCAAAGACAGCCCCGCGCTCAAGTAATCCGTGGTCGTCCTTACTTGTGCAAGTAGTCCAGCCCCCAGCTAAGAAATTGTCCCACTTTGAGGAGAGTTTTACAGCCGCCGAAAGTTCTAATTCTAACACCCGCTCAGCTGGACTGCAACTTGCCAAATGCCCTGTGACGGAGAGCCACTCAGTTTCTTTGTTGGGGCGGCGGGCATGAGCCAGGGATTGCACAGAGACCGCAGGGTGGTACGACCTGTCAGGGAGCGATTTTGTTTATGGTGTTCTTGAAGATTCTTCTTGCTTTTTTTTCGTCTTTGGGGAATTACTTATCAGCTACTGGTTCATAATTGAGCAGCAACTATCCATGTCACTTAATCACGGGAACTGTCTTTAAGTACATGGCGCATCTGGAATTTCTGATAAAGTGTAACCGGTCACTTTTTACTCTTTTAATAACGCCAGTTTGGGGGATGACACGATACCTTTTAACTCCAGAAAAAAAAAACAGGCGGGGCATCTTACACTGGGCGGAGCTACTTCGTAGTACAAAACGGCGAAAGCCTTGAAAGACTGCTATAAGGCTTTTTGAGAAAAAAAAATCTTTTTTTATACACGCTAGCCAGGACCTCACAAATAATCTGAACTAAAAATATCTAAAGAGACTTACGCCTTTCTCAGTTACTGTCATATATTGCTCGAATTTGAATCCCCAATACGACATCATCTTTTCCCTTTGAGTCATGGATTCTTTCCTGAAGAAAAATGATCACAATCCTGAAACTGAATAGACAGAATGTTTGGAAGCAAATGATGGGCAACATTTCGAAAATTACATGGGAAAAGACATTCGCTTTTTCAGGGGCTGCTGCCAAAGTAGGAAATCAGAAGGGCAATACAATCTACTTTCCACGTCATGGTAAATCGTGATCATTTCGGGAAAGCTAGTCTTAGAAAAAGACGGGGGTAGTGTAGTGGCAGATGGCTCGTTTACCAGGCGAGCAGTCCGGGAGTCCCGGATCAGTTCCCTCCAAAAGCCAACCCAACCCAGCCTTCTACCAGTTCTGGATCAGTCCCTCCCAAAGCCAACCGAACCTTCTACCTCCGGGGACGGTAAATTGGTACCAGGTTTGCCTAGGTGGACAAGAGCACTGACTTGTACATCGGCTGGCCCCCGCAAGTCATTGCATAGACCCCATCGCATTCAATAAGCCACTACGATTCTGAATGGAAATAGAATGTGTGCCGCATCCCGAGAAGGAATTCAACTGCGGAAGATTATACTCGCTTTCAACCCAAGAAAAGCAAAAATGATATCTTCACTATTCAAAAGGAGAGACGGCTCTGACAGTGCTAGTTGACTAGAAGATGGAAGGCGACGGTGCTACGTGGGTGAGTTCAACGAAAATGGAATCGCTTCGAGAAAACAGACGTTCCCACAACAAAGCCCGATTTTCAGGTAATTAACTGATTCATACCTTTGCCGAGTCTCTTCCGTCTCCCGCTCACAAAGGAAAATCACTCCGCCGATTCGTGCAGCCGCAAATTCCCACGAATCTTTTGGGCAGAACGGTGTCGCCGCTATTCGAGTCAAAAGGCCACGCCAGCATACAAAGTCTGCTTCATGTAAGACCTATAATAAAGGGTAAACGATTCGTGGCATTCTAAGCGTAGAGTTATGATATGGCACGAAACATAATGGATCAGAGCCTATAGAACTAGAGAAATTGAGGTTTGGTGGGTCTGAAGATACGTTGCGCGCTAACCTGCAAGTGATCCTTGCCATGTGCAGGGTGACCAGGCTTGCAGGTGCACACGTTTCACTTTCCTCCCCCGAAAATGCGCAGAGATGAAGCTGGTGATTGTGGCAACTAGATGGCGTCTGGATACCACTCGCTAAATTCAAGGTGTGCGTCGATTCCGACGTCTCGTAGCGAACATCACGAGCGGCAAGCTGCTTAAAGGCATATGACACAATAATTTGGTACTTGGTCTAAAATGCTATGGTGCTGTACAGTAGGAAAATGGCGAAAAAATGAAGTGAAACGGTCAAAAACCTGCAAAGAAAAGCCTTCTTCTTAATGACTCAAAAAGCAATTTCGGACGAGTTTCCCATAGGCATCTTGCCAATAACCGCTACGGTAGATATGGCTGCACGTATGTACCCATATATTCATGCAGCACCAGGATGGCTTCATGTCAATCCCTTCGCTTCATTTTACTTTGCAAATGAAGCAATACGAGCATCAGGTACGGTCGTCCATTTGTGGGCGGGCGGGCGCGGTGGGCGTTCGGGTCGGTATGTTGTAGCTTGATAGGGCCCTTATAAGGGTACCTTCCTTGGAAAAGGCGCTGCTCAGGGTCGCGGAATTCCGTCCTGCCAGGCGTATTAATCCAGCTCGTCTTAGGGATTAATCGTGCCAACAGCCCTTAAGTTTAGAGTTCAAACGCGAGAGAGCGCAAGCAAGTGGCTGTTTGGCTACATTTAGGCGCCCATGGCCTTATGGAGAACTCTATAGTGGACAAGAAGATGAGACCTTCTTTAGTGGTCCACCCCGAGGTGCTTGAGTAGCGATCCAATCCAGCAGTACATCAAGCCGCTCGTCACCTTCCTGAAAGCTTAAAATTGATTCATCGATTCGATTCAGATTTAGACAAAGCAAAAGCGTTAGACTAACCGACTATGCTAAAACTGCTGCAAAAAAATCAAATCTCACATCTTACGGCTTACGGCTTAATGAACGAAACTCCACTGGGTCTGCCGCGACGCAAACGCACGCGTCACAGTGCTGCCGCCGCAATGTGACGCGTGCGGTTGTGCCGCGAAAAAACATCATCAGGGTCGATGTAGTTTGTGGGCGACCACACTTCTATTGAGGAAGTAAAATATAGAGTAAAAGTGTAGTTAGCATACATGAAAGAAATAGCCAACAACTAATGAATAATCTAATAGCAAAATAGAAAAAAAGTGAATAAATGAAACTAATTACAACCTTTTCTTCAAACGTACTAAATCCTTTATTCAAATCGAATCGTGCTCGTCCACCATCGGCCAATGCAGCTTCGTATAAATACTTGGCATCTTCACGTCCTGATACCACACATCGGTCCCGCGTTACCTGAGAGCACAATGCTTGGCGATAATAATCCAGGAACGGGGGGGGGGGGGGGAGAAGTAGGCGGGAGGCTTGAGTATGGTGCACGTCAGCTCGGTTTCCACCTATTGTGCTCAACTGCCGGAATTCCACAGTTGGTGCATTAAGGGATGCTACCAAGCCAAAACCAGCCCCTTCCCATCCCCCTTTCCTGGGAACGCCTTCAGCCATTTTGTAGCGAACAAAACTACGATAGTTCACCTACTGTATATTCTCCGATCCTTTGCGGCTGTCCAAACCGTGGAAATGGCCGATCATTCGATTTTACATCGACTGAGACTCTCAACACGCTCTGGTCCATCGAGACAACCATGTGGAAGGACGATTCTTATCTGAATAATTACAAATGAGTTTTTAACGGTTATTCAGATTCCTGTGCGCCACGAACTCGAAATTTGTCCCAAATTTCAGAGGTGACTGAGTCAACAGAATAAGTACGAAGTCTTGAAGGAGGTTCTCGCGCTTTTTGATGCCCCAATTTCGAGGAAGTGCTTCTCTGTAATTTTTTCTTTTCATAAGCGCTGCTGAGACGGAGGTGGTGTCATGACAAGTGACACGCTTACCAGGCGTACGCTCCGGAAATAAAATCCCGGATCGGCTCTCGCCTAGACCAACCAACCCTTCAATCCCCACGAGACGGTAAATTTCTACTATAATAGAATTATCTGGGAGGATAAGAACAGTACACCAGCTGGCCCTCGCAAGTCATTGAATAGGCCACATGAACTACACGATTCTGAATGGGAGTAGAATGTGGGGCCGCATTCCAAAAATGGATTGAGATCGATCAACGGCGAAAACGCCATCCTTTATCCTTTTAATTTTTCCAGTTTTCTAGCCTGTCGATATTAACATGGTTAAATTGCACAACTAGAAAATTTGCGTTTTTCTCTTTAAATTCAAACTGGACAGGAAATCTGCAGAAATGGGGATATCAAGGAAGCGTTTGGCCTTGGAAGGCGAATGAAGTGCAGTGGTGGTCTAAGAAATTTCGTAGTGGCGATGATAGTGTTGAAGATGATAAGATGAAGGCTGAAGGTGGTGGGCGGTCGTCGGATGTTGACAACGAACAATTGAGGGCATTACTCGAGAGAATCAGCGTACAGCTTTGAAGGATATTGCCTGAACCTTTTAAGCAGGACGGTTTTTACCCACTTGTAGGAGGAGATCGAGAAGTCGAAGAAGCTTGATAAGTGGGTGCCGCACGAAGTGAGTCAGGACCAGAAGGGTCGTTCCGAGTCTTCCTCTAGCTGAGCAAAACGACTCTAGTCAGTAGTTGAACAACAGCCCATCTCCTCGACACTTCCCCAAGCCGAAGCAGCGCGAAGGAAAGAGATCTCAGCAGTGGATTGGCGCTGTGCAGCCAGCCTGATGCACCACAGCTCCACGGATCTAGATGAGATTGAAAAATACCGCCAAGCACTTGGCGAAATGCACCGTAAACTTCTGCACGTGAGCCCAGCATTGGTCAACAGGAAAGAGCCCTCCACGACAGCACTCGGCCCCACGTCGCACAATCTCTCGAAGAAACTGAACGAGTCAGACTTCGAAACTTTTCCTTACCCGCCAATACATCACGCCTAGACCCCACCGAACACCATTTTTTGAAACACCTCTACAGCATCCTCGCAGGACTGCTTCAAAAATCGACACGATGCTTCAGCAGCATTCAAAGATTTCGTCGCCTTTAGACAATCGAGCACG